CAAGGCACAGTTATTGTGCTTTGCAATATTTTGGCTAAACGGATAAAAACAACTATCTGTAATTGCAAGGGCTAGGTATAACAAACTAAGAATTAGCAGGTGACAACCAGATAGATATCACGGCGTGATTCACGCCTCCGTAAATATAACCAATCAAAAGCTCAGACACAAAAGAAGGGTTCGTTTTGAAAATTCGGAGTAGATTCGGCTTTTAAGTCTCACTCTTAAACAATTCAACTCCACTATGGCGGTGAATCCTCTGCCATCCAGCAGTTTGCGTCAAAACCGACGCGATAGTCAGTGTAGATTTTGACTAGCGACGAAAAGCCATCTATTCCGTTGATATGAAGTGGCGTGGCGTAGTTCTACTGTACGTCTATAGCATTGACGTTGCTACAGTTGCCTCTGTTTTAGGTGTTTCAGAGCGCAGCTTAAGTCGTTGGTATCACGACTTTAAACGGACTGGGAACGTATTAGCCGAGAAAACAAGAAATCGATCGTCAAGGTGGCCGGATCATGTGTGCTCATTTGTGCGAGAGTATGTCAACGCCCACCCCTGTTTCTACTTTGAAGAGCTTCGAAAGGAGCTACAACTTCAATTCGGAGCTTCGATAAGCCTGACAGATTCAACAATTTGCCGTGCGTTACGGTTCGATCTGGGATTAACGCGCAAGGTCCTGACAAAACGTGCGAAGGAGAGTGTCCCTAGAGACCGACAAGAATATATCAACCGTCTGCTACCGTTTTATAGTGGACCTGATCAACTTGTCTTCGTAGATGAAACGTCAAAAGATGGCCGGTAAGTAACTTCGTTTTATCAGTTTATTTTGTTTTACTTATGCTACAAGCGGTTATTAACCTATTGTTTTGTCAAACAGATCTGTATTGAGGAAGTATGGGTGGTCCGCCAGGAATACTCCTGCTCATGCTGTACTACCGTTTAGCCGAGGGAATCAAGTTTCGTTGCTAGCAGCGGTCGATGTCAACGGATTCTTTGGTTGGGGGATTACTGAAGGTACTTTTACGAGAGCGATATTTCATGAGATTTTCAAGACCAAAATTGCGCCTTACCTGAATCGATGGCCACTACCGAGGTCAATCGTCATCGTGGATAATGCAAAAATCCACATGTACGAGGAACTACAGGAATTGGTCCATGAAACGGGAGCTATACTGATGTTCCTTCCTCCATATTCCCCAGACTTAAACCCAATTGAAGTCACCTGCTCACTTCTTAAGAGGTGGATCCAACGAAATGCAAATATGGCATTCCAAGCTGACCCAGTTGCGGTGATGAAAGTTGCGCTCTACAACTGCACACGACAAAAAGATTCTGTAGGTTGAAATCTTTACAGACATTGTGGTTATCATTCACAAAAACTTGAAATACAGGTCAACTAGATGTATTTAATGTGATCTTTCCATTTCATTCGGCTCCATGTGGTCTGTATCGACAATATTTTGCGCTGGATCAGGCGTGTCAACCTCTATTGGTCCTCGAAAAGGAGGGCACAAACTATATGGCGGTAGACCAAGGGCATCGCGGAGGTCCGCTATGTTGACTTTTAGTGGAACTGGAACGCCGTGGATTTGAACGCGAATGATGCGATAAGCTGCATCGTGCTGTAGCTGTGTCGATGCGATCTCTTCATTCATTGATCGTTCTTGCTCATCAATATGTAGAAGCTGTCGGAACGTCGTATTCTGGGGAATTTCAATATCACTGCCCTCGGGAAGTCTAGCCTGCGCAACGGCCATATAGTTTTGTGTAGCAGGTCCACCAGTAATACCAGACTCCTGTAAGAAAGCGGCAACACGGGGAATCTGCTCTTGGATACGCGACGCGGTAGCTCGACGGAGCGAAGTGCTTGACGTTCGCGACTCTTTGGGGATGTATACGAAGAGCTCAAGTACAAACCCGGCTTGACCACTTTTTCGACGCCGAGCTGTGTGCCACACACCTTCTAACTGCGCTTTGAACGCGCTACTTTCAACAAGTGGGACGTAGTCTTTTTGCTTGGCGTGATTTGATGGCTTCAGGAAGACTGCGAAACCAGGCTGCCATTGCCCAGGAACCATCTCTTCCAGCTTCTTCTCAATTATCTTGCGGAGCGCTGCCGGTCCGTCGTCTATTGTCAACACAAACTCCTTGGGAGAAACGTTTTAGAGCTCTGGTGTCTGGCTCGCCATTCTTTGCTGTAATCCGACAAGTCAACAAGCTTGGCAACGGAAGCTGCGGGACAGATGAGCCTGCCATTGTAGAATAGAAACTAAGTTAAACCAATGCTTATGAATACCAAAACCAATAATAGAAGCTTTTACGATGACTTACGTTTGACGAGGCTTCGTGGCATTAGTGTTCAACCCTATCGCCACGTTGAATTACGTCCTCGAACCTTGCTCTAGTCGTCGGTCGACTGGCTTCAGCATCTTATCCCGCTCCTCGTTCGTCTCCAGCGTTGCCATAACCCGGCCCCGCCCATGGTAGCACCCACCTTCTTCTGAACCTCCTTGGCCACCTGACCATCCGTCCTTTAGCTGCTCAAACGGCTCCTAGATCACCTGTGTGGCCATGACCACAGCACCACGTTCAGGTGCTTCAGCGGCGCCTTGGCCACTAGCTCTACTCTTCACGCAATCTCCAATTATTTGTTGCACGTTGAGCCGCTCCTTATTCATCTCCGGCGTGGTCATGTCCGCGCCCACCTCTTTTGGCAACTCTGTGGCCACCAGCGCGGCCTTTCCGCAGCTACTGGAGCGGCTCCTTGGTCACCAGCTCTCCTTTTTCAGCTTGAGCAGCTCTAGGTTTACAGCAGACACGACTTTGGCCTGCAATCGCCGCCTTCCACAGGATGAGAAGCTTCCCATAGCACGTTCGTGGTCACGCACATCTCCTTCTGCACTCGACAAGCTTCAGATTCCCCACAGGCGCGACCTTCTACAGCTCGAACAGCTTCTTGTTTATCACAAACGCGGCCGGCGCCACTCCCAACTCCTTCTCCAGCTTGAGCGGCTTCTAGCTCACCGCATGCGCGACCTTGACCACGCGCACCTTCTTTTGTAGCTTGAGCGGCCTTCGCGTGGGGTCCAGACTCGGAACTGACGATTTACACTAATCAGCAAAGATTTAAATGGCGAACAGAGTGATTTTACAAATCAAAAACCGGAGTACCTCAAGTCCGAATTTGAGTAAAATCGGACGGCAAATTACATGAAAAGCACAATACTTGGGATAAAATAGCGAAAACACACAACAAGCAAAATAACAATCACACTCCGAAGACCGTCGGCACGACCATCCCGCCCAAGGATTCCTGCAAGTGGGAGCGCGTCCTTCATCAGCGCACATCTTGTTCTTACATATCAAAAGTGAACTCGCTCACAACCGGGAAATGGTCCGACAGATTGTACTGCGGTTGGTTGCGCCACATCCACGGCTGCGACGTGGTCAGCGGCTGGACCCAACTCGACGCGGTCGTCGGCTGACGGTGCGTGCGGGAGTAGAGAATGTAGTCCAGCAACTCGAGACTGCCGTCCGTGCTCAATCCGTCAGCCGCCAGAGCGTTGACACGTGGGTCGAAGCTGTACTTGCGCAGGTGCTTGAACTCGGCCGCCGACTCCTTCTTATCGGAGTCGGACGCGTTGCCAAGTTTCCGTGGATGCACAGCGGACGGGTCCTTCGCTTCGAAGATGTTGAGCATCTCGTCATACTCCTGGTTCGTCTTGTTCAGATGGTAGTCGACGTTCAAGTCGCCCACGAACAACACGACGTCGTTCACCTCGTCAATGTCCATCGCTCGCATAAAGTTTGCGATCATGTCCATCTGCAGCTTCCGCATGGTCCTTGACAGCGGGTCGTTCCACGCCTGCAAATGGGTCGAGAACACGTGAACCAGCAGTCCGTCCTTCAAGATCTTGCAGTACAGAACGCCTTTATCAGCCAGCTTGTCGGCGCCAGCACAAGCGCCTTCGAACAGCTTCACCCGGACACTGAGAATTGGGTATTTACTGGCTAGCAACACGCCTCCGTTGAGCAACTTGCGCATGTTGGACTTGTTAATGCGTTTATGCCCCACCGTCGGCGAGAAGAAAAAGTAGCCCGCTTCCGTCATCTTGTCCAGCAGAATGTCGCGAGCGCGATAGTCGAAGCACTCGGTCAAGACCCAGATGTCGCACGGAGGCAAGAGATCGCCAATTAGTCGCGCACGCGTGTTCTTCTTAGGAGAACAGCTCGTGAACGCGCTCACCTTGCGAGGCATCATCCAGACGTTGTACGTCCCCACACTGACGTGCACTTGACGCTTCTCAAGATGTGCCAGATACCGCGTCCTAGAGTATTTGTGCACGATGAGACGAGTATGAGCTGAGGTAAGATTTGTCTGTCTTAGCTGCTTCGGATTGGATCGTTGCCTCCTTCGAGACCTCGGCTTTGGGACGTTTATGAAACCCACTTGGCCGGAGCCCATACCCTGGCAGCTCATCTGATCTTCTCTTGTGCTACAATCAAGCACATCGGCAGAGGGTGTAGCAGCCAAGTCGTTGGTAACTACGCCGCCGCTTGTGCACTCGGCCAGGGGGGCAACGTGGCCGATG